CCTCCGCTGCATCCTACATGAAAATGGGCTTCTTACGCATAAGCGAATTCACAAACTCTCACGCCACCTTTAAATGCATCCCGAGACATTGCCTTCTCTGACCTGTCATATTATCCCGACTACTTCAACCCCCACCTCAAGCATTCCAAACGCAAAGGTGCTTGCAATATAGTCATAGCTCGGTCTGACACTTCTCCCTGTCCCTACAGATCCATGATGCATTACACTCGCCTCTGCTCTCGGAAAGGAGATCTCTTACTCCCGATAACCTCCCTATGTCCTCCAACTGGTTCATAGCCCAACTCAGGTCCGTACTGCTGCTTTGTAACCTGTCTCCCCATCTCTACACAGCCCACTCCTTCCGGATAGGCGCGGCCACGCGCGCCGCGTCCCTGGGGCTCCCCCATTCCGCCCTCCAGCAGCTGGGCCGCTGGTCATCATCGGCCCTCTCCTCATACATCAGGCCTGACACCTCGACCATCCCGGCAGCCCAGCGGCCTTTGGCATCTCCATAAAACACTCGCTAAACTTCCTGGTGGCGGCAGCAGCTGAGTATCCGCAAGTTATGGTCACAGTAGATAGCGGTCACAGTATATAGTGATAGCGGTCACAGTATATAGCGATAGCGGTCACAGTATATAGCGATAGCGGTCACAGTATATAGCGATAGCGGTCACAGTATATAGCGATAGCGGTCACAGTATATAGCGATAGCGGTCACAGTATATAGCGATAGCGGTCACAGTATATAGCAAAAAATGGTTAGCGCATGATGGTCATCAGCATATAGCGATAGCGGTCACAGTATATAGCGATAGCGGTCACAGTATATAGCGATAGCGGTCACAGTATATAGCGATAGCGGTCACAGTATATATAGCGATAGCGGTCACAGTATATAGCGATAGCGGTCACAGTATATAGCGATAGCGGTCACAGCATAGCGATAGCGGTCACAGCATAGCGATAGCGGTCACAGTATATAGCGATAGCGGTCACAGTATATAGCGATAGCGGTCACAGCATAGCGATAGCGGTCACAGCATAGCGATAGCGGTCACAGCATAGCGATAGCGGTCACAGCATAGCGATAGCGGTCACAGTATATAGCGATAGCGGTCACAGTATATAGCGATAGCGGTCACAGTATATAGCGATAGCGGTCACAGTATATAGCGATAGCGGTCACAGCATAGCGATAGCGGTCACAGCATAGAGTAGTCTCGACGTTCTGTCCCCTCCAAACCAGGCTGCAAAACTCCATCAACACACAGCTTTTTTGGGGATTGGCACGCTCCATCGCAGGAGGCCCTCCGATCTGAAGGCCGCACCGGGGCCTAGGGCGCCAAACCTCCTCCCAATAAAATACTCAAAAGCTTCTTGTTTTCTCGTCTCTCCAAATTGAAATGCAGCCAGCGGAAATTCAATTTGGTAGACGTCAGCCAAAGTTACCCCCTCCAGGCCGGTTCTCATCCCCAGCCTATCGCACAGCCCTTCCAATCACCGTACCGGCCAGGCAAGCCGCTTAAAAGCGGAGAAACTCCCACTCTCGGCCTTCTCGAAGCCTGCAACCACCGCCTCCCCTCCTCCTCCTCTTCACCCTGCCTTCACAGCCTCAGTCCTGGGTCTACAGCCTCAGTCCTGGAACTACAGCCTCAGTCCTGGATCTACAAGCCTCAGTCCTGGATCTACAGCCTCAGTCCTGGGTCTACAGCCTCAGTCCTGGAACTACAGCCTCAGTCCTGGGTCTACAGTCTCAGTCCTGGAACTAAAGCCTCAGTCCTGGGTCTACAGCCTCAGTCCTTGGTCTACAGCCTCAGTCCTGGAACTACAGCCTCAGTCCTGGATTTACAGCCTCAGTCCTGGAATTACAGCCTCAGTCCTGGGTCTACAGTATCAGTCCTGGAACTACAGCCTCAGTCCTGGGTCTACAGCCTCAGTCCTGGAACTACAGCCTCAGTCCTGGAACTACAGCCTCAGACCTGGGTCTACAGTCTCAGTCCTGGAACTAAAGCCTCAGTCCTGGGTCTACAGCCTCAGTCCTGGGTCTACAGTCTCAGTCCTGGATCTACAGCCTCAGTCCTGGGTCTACAGCCTCAGTCCTGGGTCTGCAGCCTCAGTCCTGGAACTACAGCACTACAGATCTACAGTGTTTTTTTGACTTTCTCTTTAAGTAAAATGAACTGCGGGCAGAGAGAACTTTTATTAAATTACCCAAATGACGGAGCAGAGTCTGATCTTCTGCCGAACGAGGACCTCTGCAAACCGTGAGTACACAACTATTCTCAAAACTTCAAACATAACGCAGGAAACTCTATACATCAGGGAACAGTGTTTTATCATTTACCATGTATGTATAGAGGAGAGACTGAGAGACTAGGACTGAGAGAGACTGAGAGAGAGTGAGAGACTGGGACTGAGAGAGAGTGAGAGAGACTGGGACTGAGACTGAGACTGAGAGAGAGTGAGAGAGACTGGGACTGAGAGAGACTGAGACAGAGACTGAGAGAGACTGAGAGACTGGGACTGAGAGAGACTGGGAGACTGGGACTGAGAGAGACTGAGAGAGACTGAGAGACTGGGACTGAGAGACTGAGACTGAGACAGAGACTGAGAGACTGGGACTGAGAGAGACTGGGACTGAGAGAGACTGGGACTGAAAAGACATCTCTAGCTTTAGCATTATAAAGAAGCAAGTATAAAAACTCTAACTTTAGCATAATAAAGCAGAGCTAGTGCAGATATAAATATAGTTGTAAACATCTGTATATTAGCATGAGACAGAGGAGGGTCTGTATTGCACCTTCTGACATGATCCAAGTTATTGCACAGACGAGTAAAGGGTCAGATCCATGTTGTTGTTTTGCTCTGGTTTCTCCAGACCTCAGACCAGAACGAGCCCGACACGGGACTCGAGGACAGGTCACAAGTCTCTCATAAACTGGAGCCGAGAGAGACCAGAAAGAGAACAGAGAGAGAACAGAGAGAAAACAGAGAGAGACCAGAAAGAGAGAACAGAGAGAGACCAGAAAGAGAGACCAGAGAGAGACCAGAAAGAGAACAGAGAGAGAGCAGAAAGAGAGTCCAGAAAGAGAACGCAGAGAGACCAGAAAGAGAGAACAGAGTGGTTCTCTGTACTCTGTGGTCCGAGTCCGAGTCCCAGGGGCTGTGGGGTCATGGGGGTTTTCACAGGGCCATGTCTCAAATGCCTCTGTGCTATTGTCACGCAAGCTCCCAAAAATAACAGCGGGAGGAGAGAGAGGAGAGAGAGAGGAGAGAGAAGAGAGGAAAGAGTGGAAAGAGATGAAAGAGAGGAGAGAGAGGAGAAAGGAAAGAGAGAGGATAGATGGGAGAGAGAGACAAGAGAGGAGAGAGAGGAGAGAGAGAGGAGAAAAGAGAGAGAGGAGAGATGAAAGAGAGGAGAGAGGAAAGAGAGGAGAGAGGAAAGCGAGGAGAGAGGGGAGAGAGCGGAGAGAGGATAGAGCCTGACAGCCACAAAGTCAGACACCAATATCAAAGTACTTTAAGTATTTTTAGATACATCTGGTCAGACACAACAACTGTGGAGTGATTCTGAAGCCGGGAATAGCTTCGTACACGTACACAGACCCAACTCAATCAAGTGCAATAGGGAGGTGCTCATAAAGGAAGTTTGGCTCCTCTCTCTGGCTCCTGTTGACTCACATATAAACTCCTCTTGATCAGAGATCGTTTGGGCTTAGAGAGGAACCGTAGTGAGACCATAGAGAGACCAGAAAGCGACGAGAGAGGGACCAGAGAGAGACAATAGAGAGACTAGGGAGAGACAAGAGAGATACAATAGAGACAAGAGAGCGAACAGAGACGGAAGAGAGAGAGATCAGAGAGAGACCAGAGACGGACCAGAGAGAGATCAGAGAGGGACCAGAGAGAGACTAGAGAGGGACCAGAGAGAGACCAGAGAGAGACCAGAGAGGGACCTGAGAGAGACCAGAGACGGACCAGAGAGAGATCAGAGAGGGACCAGAGAGAGACCAGAGAGGGACCAGAGAGTGACTAGAGAGAGACCAGAGAGAGACTAGAGAGGGACCAGAGAGAGACCAGAGAGGGACCTGAGAGAGACCAGAGACGGACCAGAGAGAGACCAGAGAGAGATAAATCCCTGGTTTATCGTTCTCTCTGATCCTGGTGTTTTTATTGTGACATTGTCTTTGTAAACAACACGTCTGTCCCTCGTTAGTGAAGCTAAGAACAAACGCCCACATAAGGAAACTGGCTCCAGCTTATGTTCAAATCAGCTGTGGTGATGTCACACTCCTTATGTATAGACCATGGATGAAATATTAAACAGTAAATGCGTAACCGTATAAAGAAAGTTACGGAGCTTCTCTGAAAGACAGTACGCGGCTCATGACTCGAATCAGGATCCAGAGTGACCTTTGACCCCTGTAACGACAACAATAATAAAATAGACAGGTTAAATGGAGGAGCACGCACAGCGGATTAGTCCTCAGCTGATGCAGAGTCTGACATCTTATGCAATCATACAAAAACACATGCACCTATTGGTCCATAGGGAGCGGGACGACTGAGGCTGTAGACCCAGGACTGAGGCTGTAGACCCAGGACTGAGGCTGTAGACCCAGGACTGAGGCTGTAGACCCAGGACTGAGGCTGTAGACCCAGGACTGAGGCTGTAGACCCAGGGCTGAGGCTGTAGACCCAGGGCTGAGGCTGTAGACCCAGGGCTGAGGCTGTAGACCCAGGACTGAGGCTGTAGACCCAGGACTGAAGCTATAGATCCAGAAGTCTGGTTCTTTTGTGAGAGTAGGAGGAGCAAATGTCTCTTGTTCAGCCCTGTTTTTTGAATTGTGGTGATTATTCATACAGTGATTCGATTATTCCATTATAGACCAACTTCTTTCGACTATGTGAAGAGTTTTAACCCATTACTAAAGTTTGGATTCTCCCCTTTAATCCATACTTTGGTGTGTGTGTGTTCACAGGTACCAACCAGTAGAATGGGTCAAAAGCTGGAGAAGTTATCTGAAAAGGATGAGGACTCGGTGGACCACTCTGATTGGTCGGAGCAGACGGGATCAGACCTCAAAGACCCGGACTGTGTCACTGTCACTGCTGCACGTACAGACCTCCACACCCACCAGCCAATCCAGGCCCACCTCCACACACAGGGTCCCACTCCGGCTTCAGCGGAGTCCAACCCTCCAGACCAGACGCAGAGGTCGAGGCAGACTAATAATACACCCAGAGAAAAGCAGGCGCTGGTCTGTTTTGGGACAGCAGCTATGGAGGGGCAGGGGAAAGGCTTGGGACGACTGCAACACGAGGAGGAAGAGTTTGTGGATAGTCAAGAAGACCAGACGTGGACTTCCAACGGGGAAAACGCAGAAATTGTAAGCGACCGGATTCATGTGTTTTCTCAAGAAGAAGCCACAAATGGGACTTCAATGAGTGGAGCTGGAGCAACACGTTTGGGGGAAGTGACAGGCGGCAGGTGTGGTGTTGGTGCGACCCACACTGAGGAAGCTGGGAGAGAGGCTGAAGGCACAGGGGACCACGGCGAGAGGGGAATCAGGAGTGCTCCAATCCCTAAGAGCAGGGGTTTGCTGAAGAGGATCGTGAGACGCAAGACCAATGACGAGTGCGAGATCATTCCCTGTGAACCTGCAGTGAAGGAACAACTGGAAGGAGCAGAGAAGCTAGGTGTTGGTAAGGACAGAGATATGCACCGGGCTGCGGGGTCTGACTCCAAAAGAGATGATGCAAACCCAGGAAAGAAGCCGGAAAATCAGTCAGACGCCAGCTCCTCTAAGCCTTCAAGCTCCCGGGTTCAACAGCCGAAACCTGATCCGCTTTTATTACTGGAACAATGTGAGGAGATACCTGCTCCGCGCTGCAGCAACGGACTGAAGGAGGTGGCCAGCTTCAAAAAGGAGAGCGAGTTTGTCTGCTTCTCTGCCGTCGTCACGCCTCCGCCTCCGACTCACGCCATGCCCAAGAGAGAGTCCGAGAGAGGGTCCGAGAGAGAGAACAAGGGGGAGTCCAAGAGGGAGGCTGAGAGAGAGGCCAAGAAAGAGTCCGGGAGGGGGTTCGAGAGAGAGGCCGAGAGAGAGGCCGAGAGAGAGTCCAGGAGAGGGTTCGAGAGGGAGGCCGAGAGGGAGTCAGACAGAAGCGGGAAGAACCCAAATCCAGGTCGCACTTTGGAGGGAGAGGTAGAGGCACCGAGTGAGAAGACCAAGGCAAAAGGCCCACCACCTCCTGTGCCCAAGAAACCCAAGAATCCGTACGCCAAACTGAAAACGGCTCAACTGATGTCGACAGATGTGCAGAGGAGAAGCAAAGACCAGCAGCGCTCAGAGCAGAGAGCGAAGAGACGACACACCTTCCACTTCAACAAAGACCTGATGGGACCGAAACCCATGAACCAGGACATGTGTCAGCTGTGGGACGAGAGAGGGTCCTACTTCCTCCCTCCGAGCTCCAGGCGTCTGTCCATCGACCTGAGTCCGTGGGAGGATCTGGCTTGTAACGCAGACCAGGGTCGGAGCCTAGTGGACTTCGACTACTGCGCCCGCATCGGAGACCTGTCCCTGGGCGACGAGCCGCTGAATCTGGACATGCAGCAGAAGAGGCTGTTTCTGGAGCGACGGACGCGGTACAGGAGCCCGCCTTCCGCTGCGCCGAGGGAAACTGTCGATCTCTGTGCCTCTGCGGAATGCGAACGGATGCAGGAAGCGGCGTCGGAGCGAGAGAACGTGCGAGAGGACGGAGAGAGGCTGGCGAGGAAGGAGAGACCAACGAGGAACCCACGAGACGGAGGTTCAAACGGTGACGACCAGAAAGTGTGTGATGTGGCGTCGTACAAACCTGTGGCTGAGATCGTGAAGGAGACGGACAAAATCCAAAGACATTCGTCGTTTAGACTAAAGGCGGACGTTCCCAAAGCTCCCATCGTGGTGTCGGACCAAAGCGTCAACGTGTCGCAGATGAAGAACGCTTTCGATGTTCCGAAGAGAACCAGGGAGCGGCCGCCGGAGGAGCCAGCAGCTGCAAAGAAAGGTAGCCGCGGGTTTTCATGTTTAACGTAGCAGAGAGACGACTGTTTTAACCCGTCACCACATGAGCTGCACCGTTAGCATTTATGACACATTCACTGTTAGCTGGTTGCCTCGCTTCTGTCAGTGTGCCCCAGGGCAGCTGTGGCTACAGTAGCAGTTTTCATTTGCTCCAACTGTGTTTGGAGCGAATGAATTATGGTGAGAAGCGTCTGCATGAAACTCTTTTGTTTAGTATGGTGTGCATAAGTAAAAATTATATACACAAAACCAGAGAGAGAGCAGAGACACACACCAGAAAAAGAAATCAGTAATCAGTCTCTCTGGTCTCTCTCTTGTGTCTCTCTGGTCTCTCTCTGGTCTCTTTCTGGTCCTTCTCTGTCCTTTATCTGGTCTCTTTCTTGTCTTTCTCTGGTCTCTTTCTGGTCTCTCTCTGGTCTCCCTCTGTTCTCTCTTTCTGGTCTCTCTCTCTGGTCTCTCTCTGGTCTCTCTCTGGTCCTTCTCTGTTCTTTCCCTGGTCTCCCTCTGGTCTCTCTTTGGTCTCTCCCTCTTTCTTTCGCTCTCTCTCTCTCTTTGGTCTCTCTCTCTGGTCTCTCTCTGGTTCAGAATTGATCCAGACTTTAACTCCATTCCTCGTTACTCCATTCCCCGTTACTTGAGCAGAAAGTTGTTTCTCGCCCCCACCCTGCAGCTCATTCACATCACTGGGCACTGGCTGCGTCTCCACTGCGCATGTGCAGCCGGTCCACCACGTCCTCCATTGAATGTAATAACGCTGGAGAAAAGGAGGTTTTTGGAGCTCCGCGGGTGATGACCGACCAGGGCATGCTCTTTCCCCCACATCTGTCTCTGCCAAGCCGCCTTCACTGATCCCCAACCCCGCCTGGTGCTTTGCGTGCGTGAGAAGGAGATTTTGCCGTGCGCGATCTGGGCGAAGACACAAGAAGCAGAAGAGAGAGACGTCCTGCAGGATCCGGGCGCGCCTCAATCACCACATCCATGTTGTAGCTTCCAGTGCTGTGCTTGAGTGGATCTTGCATAGTTCTTGAAGGTAAGACTCCAGAGCTGGTCCTGGGTCTGCAGCTCCAGGAGGGGAGAGAGGGGGCCGAGGCGAGAGGCACTGCAGCCGAGAAACTGGACAAATCTTTGGGATGGAAATGTCTGCACTTGCGTCAGCGGCTGGGGTCCTTTTAGCGCAGGCCAGCGGTTAGCTTAGCATCACATTTTCACATGAGAAAGTGGGCCTCATGTGAGCGACCCAGCGTGATGCAGACGCACTGGTGGAGCTTGCACCTGGTCCACGCTGCAGCGGGGAGAATGACAAATTGTCTCCCAGCCGCGATGCAAGCCTGAATCTCTGCAGAAATGTGTTTCTTTGGCCCCGTTCTCCAGCAGCAGGAGGAGGCTGCAGAGATGACAATACCCCCCACGTCTACACGCTACTACACCGTTATTACCGCTATGCTCCTGTTTTGCCTCCTCCTCCTGCTGGTGCTACTGGTGCTGCTGCTTCTGGTGCTGCTGCTGGTGCTGAACCCTGAGATAAAACCGGATTTTGCTTCGGTCACAAAATGTTCCTAGAATTTCAAATCCAGAGGCGGGATCCCGGTCCGGCGCTGCAGCAACACCCAGTGGTTTAGGCACAACAATCTGAGTTTTATTGTGTTTTAAGCGATTTTTTGGGGGGAGAATGAGTAGTTTTTATGTGTCTGGAGAAAGATTGTATCGAGGAGATTAGATAAATGTGTCTCAAAGGCAGTTTGATGATATGATTGTGTTAAAATAGAGTGAGTGTAGTGTGAGAGAGAGAGAGATCAGAAAGCATGCTGAAGGAAGAGTTCTCAGCTCTCTGGTCTCTCTCTCTCTGTGTTCTATCTAGTCTCTCTCTGGTCTCTCCCCGGTCTCTCCTTGGTCTCTCTCTGGTCTCTCTCTCTGGTCTCTCACTGGTCTCTCTCTGGTCTCTCTCTAGTCTCTCTCTGGTCTCTCACTCTGGTATCTCTCTGGTCTCTCTCTCTGGTCTCTCTCTCTAGTCTCTCTCTGGTCTCTCTCTGGTCTCTCACTCTGGTATCTCTCTGGTCTCTCTCTCTGGTCTCTCTCTGGTCTCTCTCACTGGTCTCTCACTGGTCTCTCTCTAGTCTCTCTCTGGTCTCTCTCTGGTCTCTCTCTCTAGTCTCTCACTCTGGTATCTGGTCTCTCTCTGGTCTCTCTCTGGTCTCTCTCTCTGGTCTCTCACTGGTATCTCTCTGGTCTCTCTCTGGTCTATATATAGAAGATAGAGTGACGTCCTGTGACTCAAACCCGTTGTAAAAGTGCAACAGAATCAGCTCACGCCTGCAGGGGCTGAAACCATCTCAGTGAGAGGAAGAAAAGCAGAAAGACATGGACTCTTCTCTCTCTCTCTGGTCTCACTCTGTTCTCTCGCTCTCTCTCTGCTCTCTCTCTCTCTGGTCTCTCTCTCTGGTCTTTCTCTAGTCTCTCTCTTTGGTCTCAATCTTGTCTCTCTCTGGTCTCTTTATCTCTCTCTCTCTGGTCTCCCCCTCTGCTCTCTGTCTGTTCTCTCTTTGATCTCTCTCCCTCTCTCTGCTCTCTCTCTCTGCTTTCTCTCTCTCTCTCTCTCTTTGCTCTCTCTCTCTAACAGCCTTCAGTGAGATTCAGAGGTGACAGCAGAGTGAGATTCTGTCTCAGAGGTGCGAGATACGTTTGTCGGACTATAACAACCCACTGCTGTGAGTCCATGGGTTGTTCTGATCCAAACAGATTTTTAAATTATCTGTTTTGCTTTTTACACTTAATATTATTGAAACTGATTCCTGTTTTACTAATAATATACTAATTAATTATAGAATGATCTGAGTCCTAAACCTTCTCACATGTTTAGAGAAAGATAAGAGAGGCTTTGTTTGTCCCACACTGGGAAATTCCTGTGTTGCAGCGCACGCACATGCACAGATACGTCGCTGTAAATGCTTCTTATATTTGACATTAGGGACCAAAGTATCGCCCTGAAAACACACTCAAGTTTTAAAGTAGATGAAGTGGGCGTCTGAAATTGCAGTTTGGATTGTTCCTTCTATTCTGCAGCTCGAGTCCAGACAGAACCAGGAAGTACCAGCACATTAGTCCAGACAGAACCAGGAAGTACCATCACATTAGTCCAGACAGAACCAGGAAGTACCAGCACATTAGTCCAGACAGAACCAGGAAGTACCAGCACATTAGTCCATGTCACTCCCGTATTCGTCCCGGAAACCGGATTCGTCCGGAAGTTCAGTTTGCGCATGTGAAAAAGTGTAAAAAGTCCATAAGTGGAGACTGGTTAAGTTTAGGCGTCTGAGTAAGATGGTTAAGTTTAGGGTTAAGGCTGGGTTGGGGTTATTTTATGGGAATGGCTGGTTAAGTTTAGGCATGAATAGGTAGTTTGTTATATTTACTTCCACTTCCGTACAGATTCCGTGACGTAATCTACTCCGGACGTATCCGGTTTCCGGGACGAATGCGGGAGTGACAGTCCAGACAAAACCAGGAAGTACCAGCTCTTAGTCCAGACAGAACCAGGAAGTACCATCACATTAGTCCAGACTAGAACCAGGAAGTACCATCACATTAGTCCTGGTCTCAGGTCTCAGATTTCTGGGGCTCTCCATGGCCTCGGACCAAAGTACATCTGAGCACAAAGAACGGCCTCCTACTGACACTCAGACGAGCACAGGGACTGGCCTTTTATTCTTTTATGATCAAACGGTTCCACTTCTGTAAGTGTTGCACAATTTACTCAGTTTAAATTGTTCCATAGTTACTGCTTTTAACATGTCCATCCATCCATCCATTTTCTTCCCCTTAATCCATTTCTGGGTCTGGGGGTGGCCGTCAGAGCTGCACCCAGTACACAGAGCACCAGCCCCTCACTGATCCTCCTGCAGGTGGTGAGTCCACAGGAGCCTTGATCTTTCAGTGGGGGCTTCAGGCAAAGTGGGGCTAAGTGTCTTGCCCAAGGACACAATGACAGCAGTCATCAGTGGGAGTTGTGAAGTAGGTCTTGTGGTGGGCTCGAACCCACGACCTTCAGGCTCACATTGGCTACCTTTCCTTTACGCTCGTAAATGTTATTTGAAGCAGAGTGTGCATCTGACAGATTCAGATTCATTTATTTGACATTTGCAGTAAAACCACATTGGAATACATCCGCAAAAGTCCCCAGAGTGACACTCAGCCTGTTTGTTATGCAGCTTTGAATTAAACTATTTCCAGTTTGATAAGTGCCTTACTTGATTTATATTGTTTCATTTTCTTAACAATTAATTTGCAACGTTGTTATCCAGTCTAATCCAAGTATGCGTCGCTCCCTTAACTCTCCCTACAAAAAAACCCGACCCCCCTCTCAGAAAATAGTTCCGACGTCCATAGATTTATGCAGCTAAAATATGGAACAATCTTCCTGAAAACGTGAGACAGGCTTCTTCTCTGACAATGTTCAAATCCAGGTTAAAAAAACAGTTCAGTCTCGCTGCAACGACAGAAGGGTTTCATCTCCTCTCTTCATAATTCTCTGTGATTATGAATGATTTGAGTGCGTCTTGTTGTGTTCGGCCTGTGTACGACCTGTGCCATACCAATAACCTGGCCTCTCTCCTGCAGACATGTTGAGACGGGTTGTGCGCCAGAGTAAGTTCCGGCACGTGTTCGGCCAAGCGGTGAGGAACGACCAGTGCTACGATGACATCCGGGTGTCGCGGGTCACATGGGACAGCTCCTTCTGCGCCGTCAACCCCAAGTTCGTGGCCATCATCATCGACGCCAGCGGGGGAGGGGCCTTCCTGGTGCTGCCCCTGCACAAGGTGAGGGGCACCAGCAAGGACCTCCACCGGTCCCTCACTATGTGTACTCCAATATACAGCATCATATAAGCGCTGGTATCTCTCTGGTCTATCTGGTCTCTCTCTGGTCTTTTGCTGGTCTCTCGCTGGTCTTTCTCCATGGTCTCTCTCTGGTCTATCTCTGGTCTCTCTCTGGTCTATCTCTGGTCTTTCTCCATGGTCTCTCTCTGGTCTCTCTCTGGTCTTTCTCCATAGTCTCTCTCTGGTCTCTCTCTGGTCTCTCTCTGGTCTTTCTCCATGGTCTCTCTCTGGTCTCTCTCTGGTCTCTCTCTGGTCTCTCTCTGGTCTCTCTCTGGTCTTTCTCCATGGTCTCTCTCTGGTCTCTCTCTGGTCTTTTGCTGGTCTCTCTCTGGTCTCTCTCTGGTCTCTCTCTGGTCTCTCTCTGGTCTCTCTCTCTGGTCTCTCTCTGGTCTCTCTCTGGTCTCTCTCTGGTCTCTCTCTGGTCTCTCTCTGGTCTCTCTCTGTTCTCAGCTGCTATTTCAAGGATTTCACTTATTGTGGGTTATTTTTACTACTTATCACTCCTATCACAAACCAGGGACTGCTGTGTGTGTGTGTGTGTGTGTGTGTGTGTGTGCGTGTGTGCGTGTGTGTGCGTGTGTGCGTGTGTGTGTTTGTGTGTGTGTGTGCTTTATAGATGATCACATATTGTTAAACTAGAGGAAATCAATTCCCAAAAGTGGATCCAGTGTGTATCATGTTGGACACCACAGAGCGGGGGAAGGGTTCTGTGCACGAGGTCGCTCAGTGATTGGACGGAACGTGGTCCCTCTGCGGCCGACCTCTGACCTCTGACCTTCACCTTGCACTACTGTCACTTTACTGCATTGTTAGATCTGTATAGTGTGTACATAGTGTGTGTACTTGTTGTATTTTGTAATTCTGGCAGTTTCCTTGTTTGTGACTTCCTGTTCCTTACATTGGCAATAGAGCTGATTCTGATTCTAAACTGTGGTTGTGTCCTTAGGCAAGACATTTCACCCACATTAGAAAGAGTCTGGTGTGCCCCAGGGCAGCTGTGGCCACAGTAGTAGTTTATCACAACTGTGTTTGGAGAGAATGAATATTAATGTGAAGAGACTTTGAGCGTCCAGAAAAGAAATGTAAATGTTTTTATTTATGTGTGTGTGTCATCATTAATACATCATACACATGTTTTTACACATACACAACTGTGATGTGTGTGTTTCCTGCAGACCGGCCGCATTGATAAAGTGTACCCCACAGTCTGTGGCCACACTGGCCCCGTCCTCGACATCGAGTGGTGTCCGCACAACGACCACGTAATCGCCAGCGGCTCCGAGGACTGCACCGTCATGGTGAGTCTGTACACAATTTAAGATTTTCTAGATATAAATATTGTAAATATCATACAGATCCTGTAGATACTTTAGCCGCTGGGACAGGGGTGTCCAAACCGGTCCAGAAAGGGCCGCTGTAGCTGCACGTTTTCTATCATACCCAACAGGAGCAGAGCAGACTCCACCCGTTTCCTCCAGTGGTGGAGGGTCCCAGCTCAAAAGTGGCCAAAATGACGTGCGCTGACATGCTGCAATACCACCCCGGGCCGATGGGGGTGGACCCAGAAGAAGAATTAGCCAATGCTAACAAATAGCATTGGCAGAGAAAACGTCTTTACAGGATGGACCAAAAGTTGTCTCTTGGCCCAAAGCTTCGTTCCACATGTGTGTCAATGCTGAGGGGGGTGTTTTGGTCCACTCTAGTTTACTCGCGGGGAATTTTTGAAGTCTCTCGTTCAAATGAATGGAGCTCTCGCCGGCTGATGCATGCGCAGATGCGTTTTTTCACAATTTTCTTGTGGGCGGGACCACTTGCGGCCAGAGCGATTTAGGACTCTAAGTAATTATGTCATCTTAAAACTGTGATGATACATGATCCATCCACTCATTTCTTCCGCTGTATCCATTGCTGGGTCCTTGGGGCAGCAGTTTAGGCTGAGACGCCCACACTTCTCTTTCTCACACTTTATCCAGTTCATCTGGGGGAATCCTGAGGCGTTCCCTCAGGATTCCTGGGTCCTCCTGGAGTGCTCTCTCTCTCTGTCGCTGCTGGTCTCTCTCTCTCTGCTCTCTGTCTCGCCCTCTCTCTCTCTCTGCTCTCTCTCTCTCTGCTCTCTCTCTCTTTGACATTGTGTGTGTGTTGTCTTCAGGTCTGGCAGGTCCCAGAGAACGGTCTGGAGTCTCCTCTGTCGGAGCCGGTCGTGGTCCTCGAGGGACACTCAAAGAGAGTCGGCATCGTGTCCTGGCATCCGACAGCTCGCAACGTCCTTCTGAGCGCTGGTAACAACCAATTTACTCTCTGGTCTCTCTCTGGTCTCTCTCCTGTCTCTCTCTGGTCTCTCTCTGGTCTCTCTCCTGTCTCTCTCTGGTCTCTCTCTGGTCTCTCTCCTGTCTCTCTCTGGTCTCTCTCTGGTCTCTCTCCTGTCTCACCCTGGTCTCTCTCTGGACTCTCTCTGGTCTCTCTCTGGTCTCTCTCTGGTCTCTCTCTGGTCTCTCTCTGGTCTCTCTCTGGACTCTCTCTGGTCTCTCTCTGGTCTCTCTCTGGTCTCTCTCTGGTCTCTCTCTGGTCTCTCTCTGGTCTCTCTCTGGTCTAAAGCACAGCTGCAATCCCATTCTGACCATTATCTCAGCCCTTGTGCCCAGAATAACCTCTGTGTGTGTGTGTGTGTGTGTGTTTGTGTTCGTGTGTGTCCTTTTAAGGCTGTGATAACCAGATAGTGATCTGGAACGTGGGGAGTGGAGAGGCCCTGATCTCTCTAGACGACATGCATCCAGACGTGATCTTCAGTGTGAGCTGGAGCCGCAGCGGACACCTGCTGTGCACGGCCTGCAAGGACAAGAAGGTCCGAGTCATCGACCCCCGCAAGGGCAAGATCGTGGTGGTGAGTGGGATTCCCTCTGGTCTCTCTATCTGGTCTCTCTATCTGGTCTTTCTCTCTGGTTTCTCTCTGATCTCTCTCTGGTCTCTCTCTAGTCTCTCTCTCTGGTCTCTCTCTGGTCTCTATCTGGTCTCTCTCTGGTCTCTCTCTGGTCTCTATCTGGTCTCTCTCTCTAGTCTCTCTCTAGTCTCTCACTGGTCTCTATCTGGTCTCTCTCTCTGGTCTCTCTCTGGTCTCTCTCTGGTCTCTCTTGTCTCTCTGGTCTCTTCTGAGTCTCTGAGAGGTTTTATTGCTGGTTATTTTTAGGACACATCACCCCTGTGTTAAACCAGTGACCTCTGACGTCTGTGATGTTGTGTAGTAATGTTGTGTTGTTGTGTAGTAATGGTGTGTTGTTGTGTAGTAATGTTGTGTTGTTGTGTTCTCAGGAGAAGGACAAAGCACATGAGGGAGCGCGGCCGATGAGAGCCATCTTTTTAGCGAACGGAAACATCTTCACCACAGGTTTCAGCCGCATGAGTGAACGGCAGCTCGCCCTGTGGAAGAGTGTACGTGACAACCCTCACCCCCTCACTCGGACCCTCTCAGCCTAACCCTCACCCCCTCACTCGGACCCTCTCAGCCTTAAGGGCTCGACACACGGGAGGCGACAAATGAGAGCGATCAGCGAAACTCAACGCTGTCGCTCAGATAACATGACAGACGGGGCGCGATGCGGCTTGACGACAGCGTCGAAAAGTTGAGCCAATTTCAACTTTCTGGGATCGCGTCGCTGACCTGCGCGTGCACGATACATGCACGAGCGGGAGGATTTCACACGCACGTTTTTCGCCCGTCGCTGAGCAGGAGGCTCGCTAGCGATTGACGCTATGTCGCGCACGTCCCATTGAAAATGAATGGAGGCGATGCGATGTCGCCTCCCGTGTGTCGAGCCCTTAACCCTCACCACCTCACCCTCACCCCCTCACACTCACCCTGACCCTGACCTTAGTGGTTGTAAAGATATGAACCATTTTTAAAGCCATTTATTTGTTTGAAAGAAGATAAAGCAGCCATTATAAAAACTTAAACCCATGGACTAGAGGCCGCCCGCGGTACTGCCGCCTGTGGGCGATTGTCACGTGCCGGGGTGTAAGCGCCAAAACATAATCACATTTTATTCTTGTATATAACGACTGCAGAGACTAATGTGCTAATTAATGCTGTAACATACAGTATCACTATGGCAACCAATAAATACTATTCTAATAACCTTTCGTTCCAGTCTCCGGATTGAAACTCTCATGTGGCACAAAACAGTGATATATTTTATCCATCCATTTTCTTCCAATTTATCCATTACCGGGTCTTGGAGGCAGCAGTCTGAGCAGAGACACAGACATCCTCCAGCTCATCTGGGAGAATCCTGAGGCGTTCAGCGTCTCCAGGAGGCATCCCAAACAGAGGAGCCACCTCCACTAGGAGGAGCAGCGGCCATTCTATCTCTAAGGCATCTCCAGGAGGAAGCTCATATGGACCACTTGGTTATTCCCCAAAGATCTTGACCAGAAGTGCAGGGGGATGTAGAGCTCTGACTGCAGACGCTGCTCACTCTTCCCCACATACAGCAGTGTTCATTCCTTCATGTGTTTTCAGGACAACATGGATGAACCGATCTGTGTCCAAGAAATGGACTCCAGCAACGGGATCCTCCTCCCCTTCTACGACCCGGACACCAGCGTGGTGTACCTCTGCGGGAAGGTAGATATAGTCAAATAAATCCCCCGCAGTCTGGACCAGAGGATAACCCTGTGTCTGTCATCAGGGCGACAGCAGCATCCGATACTTTGAAATCACAGACGAGGCTCCGTTTGTTCACTACCTCAACACCTTCTCCACCAAGGAGCCGCAGAGAGGGATGGGCTACATGCCCAAGAGAGGCCTGGACGTCAACAAGTGCGAGATAGCAAGGTACTGAGGGACTGAAGACCCAGGACTGAGGCTGTAGACCCAGGACTGAGGGTGTAGACCCAGGACTGAGGCTTTAGACCCAGGACTGAGGGACTGAAGACCCAGGACTGAGGGACTGAAGACCCAGGACTGAGGCTGTAGAGCCAGGACTGAGGGACTGAAGACCCAGCACTGAGGGAATAAAGACCCAGGACTGAGGCTGTAGACCCAGGACTGAAGACCCAGGACTGAGGGACTGAAGACCCAGGACTGAGGGACTGTAGACCCAGGACTGAGGCTGTAGACCCAGGACTGAGGCTGTAGATCTAGGACTGAGGCTGTAGATCTAGGACTGAGGCGTTAGACCCAGGACTGAGGGACTGTAGACCCAGGACTGAGGCTGTAGACCCAGGACTGAGGGACTGAAGACCCAGGACTGAGGGTGTAGATCCAGGACTGAGGCTGTAGATCTAGGACTGAAGCAGGGGTACAAAAGTGTTTATGGCTGTTTTGATTTCAGATTTTATAAACTGCACGAAAGAAAATGTGAACCCATCATTATGACTGTCCCCCGCAAGGTGAGAGAAGAGCTGGAATAATTTACTTTTACTATATCAATGCTAACACAGACTGTATACAGATGGACAATGCTAACACAGACTGTATACAGATGGACAATGCTAACACAGACTGTATACAGATGGACAATGCTAACTCGCTTGCTACAATCTGACGCTGCTGTGTCTGGTCCAGTCGGATCTTTTCCAGGACGACTTGTACCCGGACACCGCGGGGCCCGACCCGGCTCTGGAGGCTGAGGACTGGTTCGCAGGGAAGAACGGAAACCCCATCCTCATCTCGCTCAAGGACGGGTACGTGTCGTCCAAGAGCCGCGAACTCAAAGTCGTCAAAACCAACGTCCTGGAGTCAAAGACAGCTCCCAAACCAGCTCCCAAAGCAGAGAGCATCCTCCCCCTGCAGAAGGCCCCGCCCCCCCAGCCCTCAGCGGTGAGACCATGTGACATAGATACCATGTGGACACAGACACCATGTGGACAAACACATCTGACACAGAGACCATGTAGACAAACACATCTGACACAGAGACCATGTGGGCAAACACACCTGACACAGAGACCATGTGGACAAACACACCTGACACAGAGACCATGTGGACAAACACATCTGACACAGAGACCATGTGGACAAACACACCTGACACAGAGACCATGTGGACAAACACACCTGACACAGAGACCATGTGGACAAACACACCTGACACAGAGACCATGTGGACAAACACATCTGACACAGAGACCATGTGGACAAACACATCTGACACAGAGACCATGTGGACAAACACATCTGACACAGAGACCATGTGGACAAACACACCTGACACAGAGACCATGTGGACAAACACATCTGACACAGAGACCATGTGGACAAACACATCTGACACAGAGACCATGTGGACAAACACACCTGACACAGAGACCATGTGGACAAACACATCTGACACAGAGACCATGTGGACAAACACACCTGACACAGAGACCATGTGGACAAACACATCTGACACAGAGACCATGTGGACAAACACATCTGACACAGAGACCATGTGGACAAACACATCTGACACAGAGACCATGTGGACAAACACACCTGACACAGAGACCATGTGGACAAACACATCTGACACAGATACCATGTGGACAAACACATCTGACACAGAGACCATGTGGACAAACACATCTGACACAGAGACCATGTGGACAAACACATCTGACACAGAGACCATGTGGACAAACACATCTGACACAGAGACCATGTGGACAAACACACCTGACACAGAGACCATGTGGACAAACACATCTGACACAGATACCATGTGGAGGTTTGATGGTTCTTGTGTGTGTGCAGAGGGTGGAGGACAGACTGGAGGAGGTTATGCGTGAGTTCAAGTCTCTCAGGGACCGTGTGATCCTTCAGGACCGTCGCATCGCCAGATTGGAGGAGCAGGTCGCCAAGGTGGCCTTATGATCAGTGACGAGGCCCCGCCCTGACTCCACCCACTCTACTCTTCTCTACTCTACTCTACCATACTCTACTCTACCCTACTCTACTCTACTCTACCCTACTCTACTCTACTCTACCATACTCTACTCTACCCTACTCTACTCTACTCTACTCTACTCTACCATACTCTACTCTACTCTACTCTACTCTACCATACTCTACTCTACCCTACTCTACTCTACTCTACTCTACTGTAGCGTAATCTAATGGACTCTACTCTTCTCTACTCTACTCTACTTTATGCTAATATACTTTACTCTACACGTTACCTGGTTCTGTGTCCAGGCAACCTCCCCACCACAAACCAGTATTCAGGGACATTCCTTGGTAACCATGGCTTCCAGCAGCACTCTGGCCAATCACTGTCAGTCAGAACACTTTAGCACCAGCTCGGCCTGGATTGAACCAGGACCAAGAGGGACTAAAGAACACAGGTTAAACAGGACCAGAGGACACACTCCTAATCAGGGGAGAGTACAGCACAGTAGAGTACAGTAGAGTACAGTAGAGCACAGTAGAGCAGAGCTGGTGGATACGGGGCCAAAGATCCGGCTCTGTTGAACTACATTCCAGGATGAATCTCACGTTCCCTGTTCCACAAGAAGAACTCTCATGTTTGTTCCAACAGACATTTTTGTTGAAGGAAAAGTCTTAAGTATTGTTTTAAAATGTGGTAAAATGATCATTCTCATGTGAAGTTTGTACTTCTCTGTATGTAGCATCAGTATTCCCATGTCCTGTTTGTGTTGCCAAATATGAATCTACGCATTTTTTTATGCACTGCTTTTACATTTTCTCCTGATGTACATTCCGGATCCACCACAGAATCATTAGCCGAGCTGGGTTTGTATCAATGGCTGTTTTCCTCTCATCAGATTTATGAATGTGGCAAAAATCCTAAAAACACTGTTCCTGTTTTGGTCTCGGCATACACCAGAGAGAGCAGACCAGAGAGAGCAGACCAGAGAGAGTGCATCTCCCTGGTGTCCTTTAGGGGTCTCTCTGAGGGTTTCTATTCAACTGGAGTCTCTCTCTTCAGTTGGGAGGTCTCTGTCTTCGTTGGGAGGTCTCTCTCTTCGTTTGGGAGGTCTCTCTCTTCGTTGGGAGGTCTCTCTTTTCAGTTGGGAGGTCTCTCTCTGCTTGTGTTTCACTGAGTCCTACAGTTGTGTGCACATAATAAAGGTTTTACACATCAGTGTCGTATCTGTCGTGTGTGTGTTTAGATTTGGGGAGAGGAGATTTCTGGGGACTACATTAGTTTGACCCTCGTAACACTCGATCTCCCAGAA